ATGAAATATTTGTATGTATATATGTGAGCATTGCTTAGTAAATAAATGTTCACAATGCCACTGTAAATATAAGAACAGTATTATAACTATCGTAAGACTTTTTAAAAAAAAGGTTGAATATGTCTAGTTTTTTGAAAATAGAACAGAGGGAAAAGAACAGTTAAATTAATTAGGTTCTACGGCTTACTAACTTAAGTTTTCGACGAGGCAATTCGACTTGTTTCAAGTAAGCAGGGGCTTATAATCATAAACAGTATACGCGACACCGTACGTCGTGGACAAGAACTTTAAAAAGTTTTTTTTTTCAATTTTAGGGACGTTTACACCGCGCAGCGTATGTCAGTCTCATCGTCGCCTAATAAGTGTATAAATTAAACTGTCAAACACCAAGCGGTCACCGGTGACCGTAACCTATTGTTCTATAATTGTGTCTACAAAACCGGTACTCGACGAGTTAACCATAGATCAATAAATCAGAGCCATGTAGTTGAACTATACTTTCGCAGGATCAGAACTTTAAAAGAGTATAATCCAAGATTTTTTTTATAGAATCGGAGGCAAACGAGCATACCGGATCACCTGATGGTAAGCGATCAGCGCCGCCCATGGACACCCCAGAGAAAGAGAGAGAGAGAAAACAAATATTTTCAAATTGGAAACTTTAACAGTGGTCAAATTATTATTTAAACCAACTATTTGTTTCTTTGACGTACCTTGGAACCTTACCATTGTAGAAGAAGAAGTGAGATTAAGTCTACAATGTCAAAGACATCACAGACCAAACTTACTGCAACATTTTACTACACGACTATAATCGCCTACGCGATCGTTTTTCATACATTTAGCTGTAAATGAAAGTCGGAAACTTCGCGAAGTAATTATAGCGAGTGAGTACATGGCAATAACAATAGTTTTTGTAAACAGACAGTCATACCGCAGTACAAATAACATTGCTATGTAAGTATTAGACACGTCTGTTTATTGTTCCGTTTCATTTTGTTTTTACTTTTTGAATGAAATTGAAATGATTGATTTGAAATTCGTATACTTTGTCTCGTGGTATAATCCTGTTTTGTAGTGAATAATTTGCTTAGGTATAGTTGTATATCTGCCTACTTGTATTGGCTGAAAGTGAGTACTGTTATATTAAATTTGTTTAATGCTCATTTATCGAGGAAGGCTATAAAACATCACGATATGATCAGTAGGAGTCGAGTTAGGGTAACACCGCGCGGAAGTTAGTACGCAAATACACCGTATACATAGTACATTATCATAACATCATACCATGTAATTCTCGAAGAGGTATTTCTCGTAGCCTGGCACATGTGATGCTACCTAATAGTGCCTACAAAATGTATTTCCATGTCATTTTTTATATGACATCTTTTTTAACTACAAATCACGGGTTACTCACGTGAATATACTGAGAAAAGTTCTACTAGTTTCGAACCACAGAGGGGTTCTTCCTCATGAGCAGCGTGCGGGGTCGTGGCGATGTCGCGCAGGCTACTCGCCTACATCTACATCGCCGCGTATATCCACGTGAGTAACTCGCGATTTTTAGTTAATTTAGTATGTCTCACGATAGTTATTATAAAAGACATCTTTTTTTTTGTTTTGACTTTATACATCGAAAATATTCCTTATGGCAAGTTGTTTTGCCGCAGGGCGAAAACGAAATAGATTTCACGGTGTACAATGATTACGTTTTAGGCACATTTAAAACAATTACTTAACACACATAAACTAAAGAGATCTAGTAAATTTAGTGTACTGCCTACATCTTTGAAAGAAACAGTCATCAGTTCATAACGTTAGTCCATTATGATGAAAACCGTCAATGATAATGTTCTAATAATGACGGACTGATGACTTCGTTAGCACTTAAAGTATAATATCTCTCATTAACCTGCTTACCTCAATTCGTTAACAGGGAACTGTTAGGTCTAGCTTTATCGAACAATGCTTAGGAAGTGAACTATTGCCTAGATTTTGTTAGGAAAGTTTATGAAATTATCAGATGCTACTTAAGATAATCACAATTACGTCTAGCCCTGTGGTAACCGCAGAGTAGCATAGATTGATGATACATACATAACATAACATAACATCACGCCTTTTATCCCCGAAGGGGTAGGCAGAGGTGTATATTACGCCACTGTACAATGTAACACCCACTTTTCACTATTTATGTTATGAGTCCCATGTAACAGGGGGTGAGCCTATTGTCATATACCGGGCACATTTCCAGACTCCGTGTTACTTTGTCCAGTAATACTTTGCCCGACCCGGAATTTGAACCCGAGACCCCTTGCCCGGCAGTCGCACTTACGACCACTCGGCCAACGAGGCAGACTCTTACTGACTAAAAACCATCCTGTTCCTTCTCCTGCACATCGAGCCGGAATCCCGGTAACTCGTTAGGTTCTCCACGACAGGCAGAGACTATGGAACGCCAATTACTACGATTCCTATATACCTCTTTCGCTTCATCAACATTCATCAATCTTTTCATGCATGCTCGTCGGTTAAGGGTACTTTTAATTTGGCCCTTCTTTAATCTGATCAGTATATTATACTTTAAATACAAAGTGTAAATAGAACGCTTCCGACAACATAGACAATATATTTTTGTTCTTACATTTTTAATCGCGTTATTCATGCAACATCAGCCTTGAGCATTTCATTACAACTATAATTTATATAAAAGAAACATTTTATTCCGTACTTTTTTGAAAATAATGCTCGTTTACTACCATTACCATACCATTTTAGTATGGCAGAGCCATGCTTCGGCACGAATGGGCCGGCTCGACCGAAGTGGTACCACGGCCTCACAGAAAACCAACGTGACGCAACGCTTGCGTTGTGTTTCGTCGTGTCAGTGAGGTTACCGGAGGCCCAGCTACCCTCCCCCCTTCCCAATGTCCTCAAACCCCGAATCCCCCACAATCCTCAAACTCCTAATACCCAAAAGGCCGGTAACGCACTTGTAATGTTTCTGGTGTTCCAGGTGTCCATGGGCGATGCCGATTGTATATCATCAGGTGATCCGTCTGCTCGGTTAACGGCTTATGCCATAGAAAATGACTTGTTTTCGTTTACAAATATTCTCCTTATAACCTGTATGAATAATATCACACTTCTGGACAAGACCCTCTTCTCATGCAGAGAAAAAAAGCATAAGTCACCACGCTAACTCAAGGCATATTACCTATCGATAAAGTAATACTTAAACATTTAATATTCACAAACGCATGCGTAGAAGGAACTCGTACTATCAAAAGCAGGAAACAAACTACTATTAAAATACAAATTGCTAAAAAAATGGCCGCTTCGACAAGAGCCTATATTTAAACAGTCACGATCATCATTAAATAGAACCTAGTTACTTGGTTTTTTTCACTGAGGTTGCCAACAAATTGATGGTCCACCGGACAGATGAATAAGCTTATAGCTCATGGAAAGCAGTTACTGTACTACATAGCATTTTTTTATGGTATATATATATATATAGTATAGAGAACAAATAGTTTGTCCAGCAATTTTTATTCTGAGCGTGATGTGTAAATGACTGCTATGGTTGGCGCGGTGGTTGGGCAACTAGCTGCCGTGCAACGTGTCGCGGGTTCGTTTCCCGCACGGAACAACTCTTTGTGTGATCCACAGGTTGTTGTTTCGGGTCTGGGTGTCATGTGTATGTGAACTTCTATGTCTGTAAACGCACTCACGACACAGGAGAAAATCCTAGTGTGGGGCAACGTTTAAAAAAAATGGTCTGAATGTTTTTTTTATAAACGAACACACACGAAGGAGAATCCTGGAGCGATTTGAAAATTTTTAAATATAGAATAAATAAGATGTTTTTGTACAGCCCTACTGCATCATCCTAGACTATTATTACATTACATATTATTACTAGCATCACAAACAAGCCTATGACATAATCTAATAACCGCCATATTGAATCGCTGACATAGCGCAACTTCCGCTGACGCCACTTCCAGTAAGCTTTCGTTTTAGAAGCTTTATACGTTGAATGGTTTATGAGCTTTCGAAATGCAAAAGCTTTGTTTGTTGTTCATGTTATTTCTTGTTATTGTTATCTATTTGGTGGGTATTAGAAGCTACGATACAAAAGTGACGTAAATCTTTAATTATGTGTCTTTTCGTTAAATATGGCAAAAGTATTTTATTGGACCGCCTCGTTGGCCGAGTGGTGGCAAAGGGTCTCGGGTTCGATTCCCGGGTCGGGCAAAGTATTACTGGGATTTAAAAAATAATCTCAGTAGTAGCACGGAGTCTGGAATTGTGCCCGGTATATGGTAATAGGCTCACCCCCTATTACATGGGACTCATAACATAAATAGTGAAAAGTGGGTGTTACATTGTACAGTGGCATTAAGTGCACCTCTGCCTACGATAAAAGGCGTGATGTTATGTTATGTTAGATTTAAAAAAAATCCGTTAGGGGCAGCACCGGTGGGGGTACATATGTTTTGAACTCCCTATTGACAACAACGTCAAACATACGTCATATTAATAACGGAATAAATAAAAAGAGTGATAAAAAAATTTACCACCGGTGCTGCCCCTAGCGGAATTTTTTAAATCTTCCCAGGAAAAAGGCTTATTACGTATATTTGCGTTAAATATGGCAAAAGTATTTTATTGGAAATAAAGGTGTGTGTAAAATAAGGTTTTAGCTTTTAATTTCTAAAAGGGACAGGCAGAGATGTATAATTATAATATACAATGAAACATTCACTTTTCACCTTAACTTATGAATCCAATGTAATATGGGTTTTAAACCCATGTTTATAAGGTTCGATGTTATATTATATTTTTTTATAATACCTATCGTGAGACATACTAAATTAAGTAAAAACGCAGTTTACTCCCGTGAATATACTGAGAAAAGCTCTACTAGTTTCGAACCACAGAGGGGTTCTTCCTCATGAGCAGCGTGCGCGTATTATATTTTATTAAATATTTACCTTTCAATATAATAATGATGTCTTTGTTTCAGGATCTGTAACAAAATAGAAAGTAACATTAGTATTGCATTTTAGACTTATTTCAGATGATGAAACATCAGAAATCGTTGTTAAACACTAGTTATGCCCTTTTTAGACTCAGTAATAAAATTTACAGTCCGTTTAAGTTCGTAGTTACTTTTTTCTTTATTTATTTACTTTACTCGTTATTTACTTTGTATTTCTTATTTACATATCTAGATACTGTTTTTTCTGAGCTGTTTGTCTTTATCTATTCTACAGTGTAATAGAGGTACATAAGCAGTAAATAACATATTTCTTATTTACATAAAGTAATATGTACTTGTAAATTATAACATTATTTGAACTACGACTCTGATATTGTTTAGTTTAGTATACAAGATAGACACTACCAACTGATGACAGAATCCATTTTTTTTATGGCATAAGCCGGTAAATGAGCAGACGGATCACCTGATGGTAAGCAATCGGTATCGCCCATGGACACCTGGAACACCAGAGGCGTTACAAGTGCGTTACCTGCCATTTGGGATTAGGAGGATCGTTGGGGATTCAGGGATTGGGGAGATTGGGGAAGAGGAGGGTAATTGGGCCTCCGGTAACCTCATTCACACGACGAAATACAACGCAAGCGTTGCTTCACGTCGGTTTTCTGTGAGGCCGTGGTATTACTCCGATCGAGCCGGCCCATTCGTGCCGAAGCATGGCTCTCCCACACTTATTTTATTGCAATGTATTGCTGTGTATGTGAAAATGTGTTTATGAACGACATAGAAAACTACAAGACATTAAAGTCCTATACAAAACCAAACTAGCCCACCAGTTCTTATCTAATGCGATTAAAATTCAATTTAGAGTCGACACTAGCTAACCTAACTGCCTGACTGTGGTTAGGTAAACGTTGTCGTTATCAAGGTCAACGACCGCTGATAACGAGGTATTAGCATACACCTTATACAGTCAGGAAGTACATTGTAGGGGGATATACAGAAATACCATTTTGATGAAAATTGGTTTAGTTTTTACGGATTATAAACTATGATTAAAAAACAGACCTTCAACCTCCTCTTTCTCTTTGAAGTCGGTTAATATAGTAAAACTTTCTCCTATGTGTAAGAAAAACTTTTCTGAAAATCACATAATAATCACATAATCGCGCGTAAACAAACATACACACATACAGTTCGAACTGAGTACCTCCTTTTTTGTTTTTGAAATCGGTTAGAAAGGTTTAAAGGTCTATTTCTGACTATAGGACAGCCAGACAAGTTAATTCCTACGCAGGTTCAAGTATATTTCTAACTATAATTATATATGTATAGTTTAGCAACTTATTTGGTATACAAAAAGGAAAATAAAGATTAATTTATAATAATAATAATAATAATACAGAATACTCTGACAGTCTTAATGACGATGTCACTAATCACCCAATAGAACCATATAGTCCTAGCACCGTTTCGTATACCCCTTCATTGCAATCGTTGCCTTCGTCAACTAGTTCATCGCCATCAACAGTTAGGGATCCACCCATTCCAGTCTTGGATGTTGCGCAGGAGGTTAATACCTTTTTACCCGCGTCCACCAAGGCCGGTAAACCAAGAGTGCGCATGTCTTGGAGCAAAGATGTTAATATATTCATCATGCGCACTTATTATTATATCACAAAATTAGAAACCGATATGACAACATATAGGAAACGATTGCACGAACTATTCTCACGTCAATACCCACAAATTACAGTCTCCGAACAGCGCGTATCAGATCAAATGAGAACAATAGTAAGAAACAAGAGACTCTCACAAGATACATTAGATCACTTGAAGGAAGAAGTGCGTAAAACTTTAGAAAAAGAAGAAGAAGAAGTAAATGAGAATTTCAATAGCATAAACACGTCAGAAGTCCCTAACAATAGTCACATCCAATCCCCTTTACCATCCCAAACCAGAGGTCAATCAATAAACTCTGAAGACATCTCATTCATCACATCTAGCATCCTCCCAAATTCACAATCATCAGTCACAAACTTATCACAACATGCTTCCACCCAAACAAACTTCTCTCACGAATCTTTACCACCATTAACACTTACCACATATCCTAGAGAAACAACAGAGGTTGACACGATTACACAGGAATTAATTAACCAATTGGAAACTACGCTTATACAATATACAGGCACAGATCCTACAGCACGTCCTAAGCTGCCAAAACTGAGAGAGAATAAAAAGTTGTATGAACTGGTGGATATTTTTAATAAACAAATTTTGAACCAATTTTATTCTATAGACTCTGATCTAATATGTATACACACACTCATTTATTGCAGCGCCTACGTAATCTGTAAAAATTTAGGATACAAAATAAAAACTTATAAACGAAACACTAAATACCATAAAACCCTTAAACCATCTTGGCAAATAAGACTAGAACTAGATATAAAAAAATTAAGAGCAAGCATCGGTAGACTAACACAATATATAAACAACAATAGATCTAGAAAGATAGTAAAAGCGGTAGAGAAAATATTTAGACAAACTAAAGTACACACTATTCATGAACCAGATAATGTCCGGCCAGAAGAATACTTAGACACACTAAAGCAGAAATTAACTCTAAAGTCACAAAGATTAAAAAGATACTTAAAAGCGCTGCAACGAAAAGAAGATAACAAACTTTTTACAACTAATGAAAGGAATTTTTACAGAGCATGTAGAGATAACGGAATACAAAATGATAACAATAATATAATCCCTGAAGCAAATGATCTAAAAATCTTCTGGGCTAATATATGGGAAAAAAGAAGTGATCATACGGATACTGCGCATTGGATTGATGAAGAGCAAAATAGAATGATTGAAATAGATGAGATGGAATTCACTGATATTACTCCAGAGGATGTGACAATAGTCACAGCAAGAATGAAAAATTGGAAAGCAGCAGGCATAGACAACATTCACAATTTCTGGTTTAAAAAATTTATCACACTACATCACGTCATTGCTAAAAACGTCACAGAACTAATTAGAGGTGAACAACCAATACCCAAATTTATCACAAAAGGCGTTACTTATATGCTTCCTAAAAGCAATAATACTTCAGATCCTTCACAATACCGTCCCATTACATGTTTACCTACAATCTATAAACTAATTACTTCCCTCATCACACGTGATATCAATAGCCATCTTCACCGAAACAATGTGCTGTCAGAAGAACAGAAAGGTTGTAGGCAAAATCATAGAGGTTGTAAGGAGCAGCTTATAATAGACTCCACCATTTTAAAGACAGCTCATTCTCATAAAAAAGATTTAAGCATAACATACATAGATTATAAAAAAGCATTCGATAGCGTCCCTCACTCTTGGTTAATAAAAATCTTACAAATATATAAAATAAATCCTATTATCATCGACTTCCTGAGGAATGCCATGGCTGATTGGCGAACGAGTCTGCACCTTTCTAATGGTGCAAACTCAATCACCACAGAGGAAATTCACATCAGAAATGGTATTTTTCAGGGAGACTCTCTCAGCCCTCTATGGTTTTGCCTTGCCTTGAACCCATTATCACATCTTCTTAACAATACAACTAACGGGTTTAAATTGAATTCAGATACATCCATTACTCATCTAATGTATATGGATGATATTAAACTATTCGCAAACTCCAAAAAAGGTTTACAGTCATTAATAGAATTAACTACCAAGTTCAGTGCAGATATAAACATGTCATTTGGGTTAGACAAGTGCCGCATATTACATATTTGTAAAGGCAAAGTAATGAATACGCTTAATAGTACCGACGAACCCAATACATTCGAATCTATGGGACCGACGGATAGTTATAAATATCTTGGTATTCACCAGTCCAATACCATTGACCATATTAAAATTAAAAAACATTTGTCTTTAGAGTTCTCAAAACGATTGAATTTACTATGCAAAAAACAACTTCATTCAAAAAACCTCTTCAAAGCAATCAACACATTTGCAATACCCGTCTTAACATTTTCATTCGGCGTAATTAAATGGACACGTACAGATATCCGAAGCTTAGAAATTAAAATCAGAACCACGTTAACAAAACACAGCTACCTCCATCCTAAATCTGCCATCGAGAGAATTTCGGTAAAGAGAGAGAAAGGAGGAAGAGGACTCATAGATTTGAATGTATTATGGGAAGGACAAATTCAAAATCTCCGGAATTTCTTCTATTCGAAAGTTACAACTAGTCACATCCATTCAGCCATAATTGATCTCGACAAAAACTGTACTCCATTAAACTTATCCAACAGGAACATTAATTATAAAACCCCACAAAACCATATCACTGACAAGCTAAATAGATGGCGCTCCAAAGAACTGCACGGGAGGCATCTACATGATCTGGAGCAGTCACATGTAGACATAGACGCCTCAAATAAATGGCTAAAATTAGGTTCCTTATTCCCAGAGACCGAAGGCTTCATGATTGCCATTCAAGACCAGGTCATAAACACTAAAAATTACAAAAAGCATATTCTTAAGGACCCAGCAGTACAAAATGATAAATGTAGGAAATGTCACCGTGCAGCTGAAACTATCCAGCACATCACAAGTGCATGCCCCAACCTAGCTCAAACTGATTACACCCACAGACACAATCAAGTTACCCGCATTATCCATCAGAAATTAGCTATAAAATATAATCTTTTACCGCCAAAAATTGTACCGTATTACCAATATGTACCTATGCCGGTGCTGGAGAATCAGAACCACAAGATATATTACGACCGAGCAATACTAACTGACAAAACTATACACAACAATAGACCAGATATTACAATGATTGACAAACAAAACAAACACGCATATATTATAGACATTGCAATTCCAAACACACACAACCTGCAAAAGACAATAACTGAAAAGATACATAAATACACAGATTTGAAAGAAGAAATTATGAGAATATGGAAGATGAACCGGGTATACATTGTGCCTCTGGTTCTCTCTAGCACTGGCATAATACC